CTCTATACATACCAACATGGATGAATTTTAGAAGTGTTAAGTGAAAAAAGCCAGGCACAAAACATTACTATATGGTTTCATTTATATGAAATTCTAGAAAAGGCAAAACTACAGTGACAGAAACCAGATCAGTGTTGCCTGAGGCTAGTGAGGAGTGAGGAGGAGAGTGACTGCAGTGGAGTATGAGGCATGTTGGAAATATTTTATATCTTGATTGTGTTGATGGTTGCATGACTGCATACATTTGTCAAATCATACACTTAAGGAGTGGATTTTTTTTTTTTAATTGTGATTTGGGTGAAAGTTTACAGAGCAAATTAGTTTTTCATTCATCAGTTCATACACATTCTGTTTTGTGACATTTACTACAATCCTAACAGTGTAACAGCATTCTTCCCACTTCTTCCCTGTGCCCACCTTTCTCTTCATTCTTCTTTCCCATACCCTCCCACCTTCCTAGCTGTGTCACTGGGCAAATACTGTCCTCTTGATCTCATATGCTTGAGTGTTATACTGAGTACATGCTATCCTATATTATTGTTCACCTTATAGGTCTGTCTGTTGTTGAGCTACAGGGGGTTCAGTTCTGTTCTTAGCTTGAAAGATGTCTGAGTAAGGTTCATAGTCTCAGGGGTTCCACTAGTCTTCATCAAACCAGTAAGCCTGGTCTTTTTTAAGAAGTTTGAAGTCCGGTCCAAAATTTCCCCCAACCCTAATGGGGACCTCTTTTTGTGATCCCCTTCAGAATGGTCAGTGGTGGTAGCCAGGGACCATCTAGGTGTGGTCCCAGGGTCATGGAGTATGGGCTCACTTGCTCCATTAGTCCTTTGAATTAATTGTTTCCTGTATCTTTAATTTTCTTCACTCTTCTTTGTTCTGGATGGGGAGAGACCAGTAGTTGAACCTTAGATGGCCGCTTACAAGCCTTTAAGACCCCAGGCGCTACTGACCAATGTAAGGTGTAGAACATTGTCTTTGTGGGCATATGTTAAGCCAGTTGACCTTAGCTTTCTCCCAGAGTGTGGTCCTTAGCCTCCATATCCAGCGACTCATGCCCTCAAGTTGTTTGGTTATGACTAAGACATTTTCATAACTTTGTCCCCTGTATGTTCTTCTACATTCATGGATATATTTGCAGCCTATGTAAATATATAGGTAGAGATAGCCTTTGTCAAACCTATATATGTGTTCATGGGTGTAGTTCCATTTACCTTTCTGTTCAGTTTGAGTGTCTATCTGTACATCCATTCCTAAATTATTATTACGATTATTACAGGCTTGTGTATGTAATAATATTCACCTTTGTTGCCTTTAACTCTTGTGCTCACCCCATCTCTTCCACTACCTTGATCATTTTGTGCTGTTCCCCTCTTTATTCCCTTTTCCCTTCATTCAGGTTAATATGTGTCTTGCTCTGGTAGCATAGTGTGAAAGGCACTTGACTGCTAACCAAAAGGCTGATGGTTCAAACCCACCAACCACTCCTGGGAAGGAAGGTTGGGCAATCTACTTCTGTAGTGATACTGCCTCGGAAACCCAAGGAGGGGTTACTATGAGTCAGGTCCGACTCCATGACACATAACAGCAACAACCCTCTGGTTGGTGGTTCTCCGTTCCTTCCTCTCCCACCCTGGAAACCTTCAAAGAACAATTCTTTCTGTATATAAACCTTTGCTTAATCTTTTAAAGTAGTGATCTTGTACAATGATTATCCTTTTGTGATTGACTAATTTCTGGTAGCATAGTGCCTAAGGTACTTGACTGCTAACCAGAAGGATGGCAGTTCAAATCCACCAGCTGCTCCTCGAAAGGAAGGTTGGGCAACCTGCTTCCATAGTGATGCTGCCTTGGAAGCCCAAGGAGGGGTCGCTGAGTCGGGTCTGAATTGACGGCACATAGCAACAACAACAAATTTCACTCAGCATAATGGATGTAAAGAGTGGATTTTATTGTGTTACAAATTATACCTGAATAAAGCTGATTTATTTTTCTTAAAAAAAAAGCACACACCCAAATACTCAACTTATTGCCAGCAGGAAAACCACCACTACCTGCCTGACTTACCATACTGCAAGTTTAGAAGGAAACGTAAATTTAACCATATTTGAAGGGTTGATAGACTGAGAGGCTGTACTTTGGATGTGACTGATTAACCTACCAGTGGGATGGCATCACAATCCCTATAGTGACAAACCCATCCTAGGGGTTAGCAGATATTACCATAAACTATATCATGGAATCTGAGTACCCCAGTCACTAAAGCACAGCATTGTGCTTTGTATTTTGAAAGAGGGGTCATGTGAGACAACATACACATTGGCATATAATCTTGTTTCAGCTAAAAGTGTCAGTTAATTTTTTTTTTTTTCTAATTTGGGATAGACTTAATGTGTGAAGGACAAAAAGTGTTCAGCCCTGGCTTTCAGCATAAACTTTGATAATAGAGCTACTTTCCTGTATTTGTTGAGGTAGTTGGTGAGGGTTTGAAATCGCATTAGTTGGGATCCTGCCAACTGGAAATTCAGAACACTTATACTTATGCCCTGTCTTTTAAGAGAAGATCTGCCCAGCAAAATCTGTTGCTGGGATGCACCTAAATAAAAACCCAGAAAATGACAAGAAAAACAAAAGGATGAAAAAGGATATCTTTGGTAAATGCTAACAAAAAGAATGTACTGTAGTATGAGATAAAATAGACTTCATGATAACGAAAAGTATAATCTATAAAGAGAAATAACAGTTATGAGTGATTATGAACATAATTGAAATGTATAAAAGGAAACTAAAAATGGGATAAAATACAAGTATAAATTGACAAATCTACAATCTTGGTGGGAGACTATCTCAATCAACATAACAAGTAGATAGAAAATAAATATATTAAATATGTTGTTGTTGTTGTTGTTATGTGCCATTGAGTCAGCCCCGACTCATAGTGACCCCTCCTTGGGTTGCTGAGGCAGTATCACTACAGAAGTAGATTGCCCAAAGAGTATTTAAATACAGGATTTAAATAACACAAATGAAAATCTTGATCTATATATAACAGAGGATACACACTTACATGGTTAACTGGCAAGAACTGATTTTAAATTATTCCAAAAAGAAAATGTCAATAAAATAAGGGTGTAATAAGTTATTACATAGGAGAATGATGAATATAGACGCTGTTATCCTGACATACCTATTTTGTTTGTTTTCTTTCTTTAGGAACTGCCGCAGTAGGGCACACAGATAAGATTGGGCATTTGAAGGAAATCTGTGAGCAGTATGGCATGTGGCTTCATGTGGAAGGGTAAGTAGATAGTGAGATTGGCTCCGTGTTGAGTGTGCTAGATGGGCATCTAGGCTCTCCTTTTGTAGTAACATTTATCACTGAGTGTTCTTTGGTTGCAAATAATAATAATAATAAATTGGTTTAAGCAAAAGGAGACTTTATTGGCTCACATAACTAAAAAGACCAATATGGGATTGGCTGTAGGCACAACATAAACTAGGATTCAGTCAGTACCTCTGTCTTTCCCTCTCCTTCTCTATCACTCTCCATCACTTGGTTCAGTTTATAGGTAGTCTTTCTTCCTATGATATAAAGTAGCTGTAGCAGCTCCAGTTTTCTTTCCAGATTCATGTTCAGTGGGCCTGAAGTCCCAGCAGGTCTCATACTGAACAATCACTGTAGCCAGAGAAATGTAGTTGAGGTTATTTTCCCACCTCTGGAACAGGTGGTGTTGTCTCCTCCACCCAAGACTCATGATCTGATAGAGGAGATTGGAGTGGTGTCCCAGAAGGCAGTTGACACCATTAAGAGAAAAGTGAGAAGAAGATGCAGGATAGCTCATAATATCCCATATCTGCCACATCATATAAAGTAGGTTTTTATTTTATCCCTCTGGAAAAGAATATATGAATTAAAAAAAACTGTAAAGATGTAAAATGGTACACCCATTACACAAAATAAGTAGAAGACATTCCCTGAAACACATTTTGATTAAAATGGATATTCAAGGTTTTCCTGAAATTTGTATAAACCACATTTTATGTTGCTGTTATAAAAACTAATAACACAAGTGAAAGACATCTAAATGTCAGTTTATAACAGCACAGCCTTCTTTTCTTTTTAAGTAAATCCTTCATGAATAATTAATTCTTAGACTAGTGTTTTTTCTTCTAGTGTGAATCTGGCAACATTGGCTCTAGGTTATGTCTCCTCATCAGTGCTGGTATGTTGTTGATTTACTCAGTGTTGGGATTTGTAAGAAGGAATTTAGACTTCACAGTCCCTGATGGCTTTTTACTGTTTTTATGAAGGGAGGAGGTGTTCAGTTAAGTGTATTCTCTCTCATGATTTGATAAAGCATTGTTCTCCTTTTGGTAGGCAGCAACCAAATGTGACAGCATGACATTGACTCCTGGCCCATGGCTGGGTTTACCAGCTGTTCCTGCAGTTACGCTGTACAAGCATGATGATCCTGCCTTGGTAAGCTTGCTCTCACCCAGGCTAATAATCAATACTGAATTTGGAGGGAAAATGGAGAAAAGTTAGGGGAAAAGTGAAAATTTTCTTTATTATTTTTTTTAATGGTTCCTTTTAGTCTTTTTCAAAAACTTTTTAAGATAAGCAAAATCATACTATATGTTTTATCTGTTTATTCTCTTCATACTTTTCCATGTGTATGAAGATTTTTTTAAAGTAATATTTTGTGTATTTGGTTGAAGTATACATAGCAAATTAGGTTCCTGTTTGACAGTTTCCACACAAACTGCTGGATGACATTAGTTATATTTTTAATAATATGTCAGCATTCTCTTTACTTGTATTCTGGTTGTTCCATTTCTAGTACTCTAGTTTCTCTACTCCCTTATCTTCTCACCTTTCTTTAGAGTAATGTTGATCTTTTGGTCTCATTCAGATGGTTTTTTAGTAGAACACAGTTCTTATGGATAATATCCTTTATTTTATGTGCCATTCTGCTATTTTGCTAAAAAAATGATCTCAGGATAATTTTGGTTCAAGGTTTAAAGAGTGTCTCAGAGTGATAGTCTCAAGGAGTTCTCTGGTCTCAACTGGTCCAGTTAGTCTGACCTTTTTTGAAAATATGAGTTTGTTCTACATTTTTCTCCAATTCTTTTTGCGACCATCTATTGAGACCCCAGTCAGAATGATCAGTGGAAGTAGTCAGGCACCATTTAGATCTTCTGGTCTCAGAGCACATGAGGCTGTGGCTCATATGGGCTGTGGCTTATACGGGCTGTCAGCCTTATAGACTTGTTTCATATGAAGAATTTTTCATGAAAGCCTGTTACTTAAGTACCACAGTATTTAAAATTATCCTCCATTTTTGATCTTTGAGGATATTTTCAAATTTTTGTTAATTGAATTAATGGGACAGTGAACATCTTTCTAATTTCAAATTCTTTCCTTCAAATAACTTCCTGGAAGTCAGAGGATTTTTAAGGCTCCTGCTCTGTGTTGTCCAAAAGATTGTAACATCGTATTTTTTTTTTTAAGTCATAATGTTCCTGATAATATATTGGTTAGTAATTCAACCAAAACCCACTGCCATTGAGTCAATTCTGACTCATAGCAACCCTATAGCACTGAGTAAAACTGCCCCATAGGATTTCCAGGACTATAATAAATCTTGCAGAAGCAGACTGCCTTATCATTTTCCCTCAGAGGAGCTGGTGGGTTCAAACCACCAGTGTTTTGGTTGGCAGCTAAATGCCTTAACCACTGTACCCCCAGAACTCCTTTGGTTAGTGATAGACAGGACCAGACTTTAATATTTTGCTCAGCTGATAATGGCTAGGTATTTGAGGATACTCAGAGCAGCCTTAGAAGGGGCTGCCTCTTGAGTGGTTAAGAGCTTCAGCTTTAGGATTTGACTGATCTAGAGTCTTATCCTGGCTTTCTTCTTAGCTATGAGCCTTTTGAGAAAGCAAGGTCTCTGAGCTAAGTTGCCTAGAATTCTTCTTTTATAAATTATTGGATGATCAAAGAAAGGCAAATGAAGTGACTATATATTTGTCATGTACTCAGTATGTAGTAAACGGTAACTGGTTAGTTCTGTTGTGTAATTTCAGTGGTTTTGATTAATAAACCCATGTTTTTTTTACAGACTTTAGTTGCTGGTCTTATATCAAACAAGCCTGCAGACAAACTCCGTGCTCTTCCGCTGTGGTTATCTTTGCAGTACTTAGGTCTTGATGGGATTGTGGAAAGAATAAAACATGCCTGCCAGCTGGTGAGTAGAAACCTGAAATTTAAATGAGTCACTACTATTCTGTGGCAAGAGCAGGCACAGAAAAATACTTCATTTATTTACTTTCCATTCAGTTATCCCATTATCTGAATTTACTGTACAATAAGCAAACAGACTAATTGCCCTGCTTGTCTTATGTTTCTTGTTCAAAGATTTGGGAGATTGTTGAGGTTTTCCCAGGATTTGTGTCCAGATGAAATGAGACTAAAACCAGTGTCACTATGGGATGAGAAAAGAAGTCACAAGTTGATAGCCAAGGAGTGGAGAGAGATGAAAGAAAAGGGTTAAATGTCCCATGTAATTGACTTACTCCTGACCATGAGGGAGTATGAGGGTTAGGGTTTGGTTATGGATTGCATATATATTTTTAAGATCAACTAGCTTGGGTTCCCAAGGAGTCTAGGGACAATTGTAATCCTTTTTCCATTAATTTGAGGTGTTCTAATTGTCAAACAAGGAGCTCTGGTAGTGCCTAAGGCACTTGACTGCTAACCAGAAGGCTGGTGGGTCCTCAGAAGGAAGGTTGCCATAGTGATACTGCCTCAGAAACCCAAGGAGGGGTCACTACGAGTCAGGACCGACTCGATGGCACATAACAACAACAATTGTGAAACATATATAATTACTCTTTAGTTAAGGAAGCAAAGAAATACATTATGCAGCTTGAGATCTAACCCCTTACTTAAGCTAAAAAGCATGATGTCACTTCTCTTTATATGTTTTTTCATCTGTAAAATGAGAATAATAATATAACATAAAATACAAAACAAATAATATAACAAAAGATTATTATGAGGATTTAATGGGTTATTACATTTAAATATACAATAGTGCTGAATCATATAGTAAGTTATGCAAATAAGTTTAATAATCTTTGTTTTAAATATAATCTTAGGGAATTGGCTCTTTTTCAAGTGTCATTCTTATATTTTTAAGAAAAGTCATTTTTATATTGCTCTAGCAGTAGTGCTTTGGCTTGTATTATTTTTACACTAAAAACTAATTTTAAGATTTATACTAATTATGTTTAAAAAAGCACCACATTTTTTAAAAAAAATTTCTGAGTATGCTGTTAGTCTTGAGGTTTGGTTCTTAAGAAGAAGTATTTTGCCTTAATAACTTAGTCATTTTGGGGAAAGTTCAGGTCCTCAAAGGAGTTTTTCAATTCCCCTTGGCCTATGGAGTACAGGAAAATAATGATCACATTAGTTACCAAACCCTTGAGGTCACTGCAGTTCTGGCATTTTTCCTTCCAGCAAAAACTGTAGCGGATCTGAAATACTTAGGAGGATTAAGTGATGCCCTGTTGCATTTTCACCACTGCTAAAAACAGGCACATGCTAAACTGCATGAAAATTTTGAAAATGTGGTAGCCATGTACATTCATGCCTTAATATCCCCTACTCGATCATGGGTTTCCTGAGAGGAAAAACCAGTGTTCTTCTTTTCCTTGCCCTCCTCCTTGTCATCATCTCCGTCACCAGCATCATCCACATGCATAGCAGTTATTGAGCATTTACTTGGTGCCGTGCACCGTGAAACACTTTCCATGCATCATCTCATTTGATCCTCACAACTTCACTGGAATATATGGTCCACTGATAACAACACATTAAGAAGTAGTTTCCGTAAGTATCTACTCATAATTTCATTTAGCAATCAGCACAAGGCTGGTCCCTATGATGTAGAGGTTAAAAATAAAGCCCAAATGTCCAACTTTTCCAAACTGCTATACCACTCCATCATCCCTAACATCAACTCCTCCTCCTCCCCTCAGTACTTTCCCTTCTGTCTCAGGATTCCATATTTCACTGTAACGTATCACAAAAGTCACACACTGCCAAGGAAATGGCTCACGTGGTAGTGGAGGCTGGGAGTTAGGCATGTCCCAAATCCATGGGTCAGGCATAGATCTGGTGGATTCGCCTTGCTTCCATGGTTGCAGGGGCTGGCAGACCCAAACTGGCAGGTCACATGGCTGTCTGCTGTCTCAAGTCCAGGGGCAGGATGGTGATGAAACAAATGCAGGAGCTGAAGCAAGAAAGAGCAAATTTCTCAGAACATTCACATATGCACCCTCAGGGAAAGTAAGGGTGGTGACTTGAGTAAGAATACATCCCACCCTACCGAGGCATAAAGGCTAGGACTTACAGTGTATCACAAAATGGAGGACTGTGGCTAGAAGGGCCGTATTAAGCAGTTCACTACACTGTAGGATCTGTCCAATTACAACACTCAGAAAACATCTGTTGAATTAATGAGTCCCAATCACATGAGGTGGTGGTGGTGTTACATGCCGTCAAGTCAGACCCAACTCATAGCAACTCCTCCTTGAGCTTCCGAGGCAGTATCACTATGGAAGTAGATTGCCCAGCCTTCCTTCCGAAGAGCGGCTGGTGGGTTTGAACTGCCAGCCTTCTGGTTCACAGTCATATCACATGAGGTAGATACTATTATTCTGCCCATATTGAGGATTTAATGATTTTTCTGGGATTGAGAAAGTAAAATGATTATGATGATGTTGATGATGATGGTAGCCACCAGTGAATAATGCTTCCTATGTCTTAGGTTCTATTTCTAAGCATTTGACATAGATCAACTCTTTTAATCTTCACAACATTCCTGTAAGGTAGATATATTTTATAGTTGAGGAAGCTGAAACACAGATTAAATAGCTTGTCCAAGGTTATAGCTATCAAGTAGCAGATTAAGTAATTTATCCATGGTCCTACAGGTGGTAAGTGGCAGAGCCAGTTTTTGAACCCGGGTGTGACTGACTCTAGACCCATGTTCTTAATCATACTACTGTGCTTTCTCATTTATCTTTGATCCCCTCACCAAGTATCTAGTACTGTGCTTTGCACACATTTGCACTCAACAGTTTTTGAATGACTTACTTGCATTGCTAATATGATATCATGTGTGTCTCATTAGAAAAAGCTTTTCTTGAACCACTAAATGTTACTTTTTAACTGAAAAATTGGAGATTTTTTACAAGGTTGAAGTGCTAAGATTGGCATTTGTCTGCCTGAAATTCTTATTTGGAGACTTGCAAAGACCCTCATGAAAATGCCTTCTTAATTTGTTGTGTCAGTCTAATGAAATTATACGAACTGTTTCTTGTCATTTGCAGAGTCAGCGATTGCAAGAAAATTTGAAGAAAATAAACTACATCAAAATCTTGGTATAGTATCTAACTTCATCTGTTTTTGAAGTAAATAACTTTAAACTTCAGTGACTTAGAATGATTTTTTCCAGGTTTGATGTATTTCAGTGGAGATATGGCAACACCAGTAAAACCATATTCTTTGGAAAAGAATCATACATGTATTCATGACTTCACTATACAGTTAACCCAAAGCCTAGAAATTTGTATCATACAATATTAAAACCCCAGTGGCTTAGTGCCTAAGGCATTGGACTGCTGACCAGAAGCTGGCGTTTCAAACCCACCGGCCACTCCTCGGAAGGAAGGTTGGGCCATCTGCTTCCGTGGTGATATTGCCTCGGAAACCCAAGGAGGGGTCTCTCTGATTTGCATCTGACTAAACGGCAGTGAGTTTGGTTTTGATTTGATGGTGCTTTTCATATATGCCATTTGGCATTTTATTCTGTTAACAGTTTAGAATTGTACAAAGATCTTATTAACACCATTGACTTCTACCCAAGGACTTTATTTGAGTTTTTATTGTGATTTGAGTGAAAGTTTATAAAGCAAATTGGTTTTCCATTCAACACAGTTCATACACATTTTGATTCGTGACATTGTAATCCCCAGAGTGTTACAGCACTCTTTCTCACTTCCTTCCTCTGTTTACCATTTCCATTCATCCTTCTTTCCTATCCATTCCTGCCTTCTGTGCTTTATACCTGGGCAAATGCTGTCCTTTTGATCTTTTTCAACCCAGAGACTTGACAATGTCCTGCATCTTGAAATGAAAAATAATTTTGTCTCTCAGAATGCTTTGCATGACTCTTCCTAAAACGTTCTGACATCACAGTTTTCTTTTGCATGAGTAGGATAAGGAAGAGAAGAGCAAGCATTCCTATTCTTGTCTTCCCTGTTATCTTCCTGCATTGACTTTATCAGAGATTATTTCCTGGGGATAATAAACAAAGCAAGGAAATATGAGGACCTACTAGGGCTAATTACCAAAAATAGATAGAAGTTTAGGTTTAAATGTTTTCATGCTTTGCTTTATGTGTTTGGGAATTTCAGAACATATTTAGGTCAGATTCTGATTTTTTTAAAAATTGTGATGAAACTGCACACAGCAGTGATTTCTGCCTGTCTAACTTTGTAGCACTGATTACATTCTTCAAATTATGCCATCATTCTTTTTTTTTTTTTTTTTTAATTATTACACCATCAGGAACTGACATCCAGTTCACCCTAAGGAAAAACTCCCTCTTAATGCCTCCTTGGTAACCACTAAAAATATGATTTTCTGTGTAATTGCTTATACTGTGTGTGTATTGGCCCATTTGTGACTGACTGACTTCACTAAGCATAAGTTTTCTAGGTTTATCTTTGTTGTGGTATGCATCAGGACTTTATTCCTCTTTATAGTTGAATAGTAGTCTAGGGAGCCCTTGGGGACACAACGGTTAACACTTCACTGGTGACCGAAAGGTCAGCAATTCAAACCTACCAGCCACTCCACTTGAGAAAGACCTGGTGATCTGCTTCAGTAAAGATTACAGCCAAGAAAACCCTAATCCTGACTGGTACACCATGCAATCCTCAGCTTATACCATATGAGACTGGAAGAACTAGATGGTGCCCAGTCACCACTGTCAACCACCCAGAGGGAGATCTATGTAGGAGATCCTGGATACGGTGGGAGAACAATGTGGAACAAAACTCAAAATCATTTAAAAAAAAAAAAAGACCAGGTTTTGCTGTTCTGATAGAGCCTGGTGGTAGAATCCTTGCGACTATGGCCCCTAGCTACCCTTCAGGTTTAGAATCAAACCCAGTCCTGTGGCTTCCAGCCAAACAAAAGACAGGCGTATGAGCTGAACGTTTATATTAGGTAGATAAAACTCCTTGGAGAGAACAATCATGGGAGACTAGAAGGGCTGTGTGTGCACAGGGAGACAGCTTGGGGGGCAGGAGTACATGGAAGGGAAGGACACAGGGAAAAGGTTGCTATGGGGAGGAAATGGGAGGAAAACTGTTGCATTGTGGAAGATTAGTCACTATCATGAGGCAGAGTGTTATGTGAACTGCTATATGGTAGATGAATTTGCTCTGTAAACTTTCACCCAAATCACAGTAAAATTAAAAAAAGAAAACACCAATCCTATGGGACATTTCTGCTTTGTCACATGGGATCATTGTAAGTCAGAATCAACTTGACAAAACCCAATATCAACAACAGCAGCAATGTGTATACCACATTTTGTTTATTATTCATCAATTGTTGGACATTTCAGTTGTTTCCACCTTATGGCTATTGTGAATAGTACTGTAGTGAACCATTGAATATTGATATGTATGTGTCTGTCATGTCACTACTTTTAGGTGTATTGGATATAGAGATTCTGATTTAAACAGGTTCTCTGGTTATTTCTTCAGCAAATCTGTACATTACAATTAAGTTTAAATCTAATATTTGAGTTGGTTAAGGGTTCAGATTAATGCAGTTTATTTCCATTTCAGTACATGGTTAGTTGGAAGTCTTAATATTGTCACCAAAAAAAAGAAAAACAAACCTAACTTACTGCCGTCGATCTGACTCATAGTGACCCCTCCTTGGGTTTCCTAGGTGGCATCACTGCGGAAGTAGATTCCCCAATCTTCTTTCCAAGGAGTGGCTGATGGATTTCAACCAACAGCCTTCCAGTTATATTGTCACCATTATACCCAAAAGCCCCAAAACGCCCCTACAGGACAGTTACAAGGTTTTGTGTTTACGTCTCTACTGATTATTAAGATTTTCTCTGTCTTTGATGTTGTGCTACTTTTGCCATATCAAAGTGAGATTCTCCCCGCCCCTCCTCCCATCTTGTTTGGGACTTATTTAACCTAAGGATTCATGATTTTAAAATCAATTCTGCAATATTTTTCAAATATGACCTCTTCCTAATTTTTTCTAGTCTTACCTTCTGAAGGGAGCTCTGTTGGCATAGTGCTGAAGGCATTTGACTCCTAACCAGAAGGCTGGCAGTTCAAACCCACCAGTTATTCATTGGAAGGAAGACTGGGCAATTGACTTCAGTAACTATACTGTCTCAGAAACCCAAGGGAAGGGTCGCTTTGAGTCGGAACCAACTCGATGGCAGTGAGTTTGGTTTTTTTGGTTTGGGTACCTTCTGGAACTCTAGTTAGCTGTACGTTGAATTTTGTCACTCTATATTCCATCAGTGTTTTTGATATTTTCCATCTCTTTATCTCTCTGCTGCCTTCTGGTTAGTTTTTTCAGATGTCTCTTTGAGTTTAATAACTTTCTGTTGCCTCTAATCTGCTTTTTAGCCCATTATTACATTTTTAGTTCATTGCCTTTTCATTTCATGATGCTCTTTATACTTCTTCTTTAAGTCAGTCTCTCTTTTTTAATCATCTTTTTAT